TTTTTTTTTTTTTTTTTTTTTTGTTTTTTTTTTTTTTTCCGTGTCCGGCAACGGATCGCAACCCTCGGTGTTGCGCCCGCACCTCGCTCAGCCAGTGAGCGGGAACCGGTCTGTATGTGGGATCCGAATCCTCGGGGGGGAGCGCCGCCGTGCTTCCCAAGCGGCGCACTATCCAGTGCGCCACCGGGCCGGCCCTACTTGTTCCCTTTTTCTGGTCAATGATTAATAGCCAGCATTCCCCAGAAATACCTCATCGTTTCAAGATTGTGATTTAGAAGAGCAGTCAGGCCAGATCCCTGACCTCACAGATGATCCAAGAATCTTGAAATGCTTCACCTTATTGCTTCACATGTTATTTTTAATTAACAACACACACACACACGCACAAAAAAAAACCATAATGTGGGTGTTTATTAAAGAAATATCTTCAGTCTGAAGCCAGGAACAAGCCCTTGAGCCCTGAAAATCATTTGTATGGGCAGGAATGCTTAACTGTTAGGGCAGATGGGGCAGATGAATGCATTAATGAAGCGACCACAAAGTTGCAGCTGAAGTGTGTGTTAACATCAGTGGTAGTGTCAGGATGGCTGAGTGGTCTAATATGCCAGACTCATGCTTTTGCTTCCTGCCCTCAGGGCTTCTGGTCGCTGCAGCAAGGTGTGGGTTCCATCCCACTTCTGACACAGGTTGACTTGCGGACTGGCTGGTTAGCTCAGTTGGTTAGAGCATGGTGTTATAAAACCAAGGTCAAGGGTTCAGATCCCTGCACTGGCCAGCCACCAAAAAAAAAAAAAATCAAGGCTTTTGGTACTGATGCACATGACCACTTTATAGACTAACCAACTGCTCCACGAGGTAGATAATGGATCTCCTCTTTTTATATGAGAAGTAGTAGAAGCTCTTTGGAGTTGTAGTTCACTTTTCACAGAGAAGACCAGTATTTCTTCTGTTACGATTTTCTTCAGAATGTTGGAGATTTGCTAACACAGATACTTCAAGGAGCCAACCCCAGGGTATTTAATAATTAGTTGAAGGATCCAGAGGTTGTGGACCAAATCCAATCTTTTCTACTCTTCCTTGTTTAGGAACAGCACCCTGAGGAGGAACAGATCAAGACTAAGCAGGACGAAGTAAATGCAGCCTGGCAGCGGCTGAAGGGACTGGCTCTTCAGAGACAGGGGAAGCTCTTTGGGGCAGCTGAGGTTCAGCGCTTTAACAGGTACCAAGCCATAGTGGGCTTTGAGGAATGGGCAGCTGCTTGGAGGAGCTGGGTAAAGTACATGGCATGTGCTAAAAAGATGCCAGAGGTGACTGGGTTTTAGTTCCATGTGCATTCCCAGTTCTCTTCAACAGTTGTCATAACTGTGGATAAACTGGTGCCTCTATTCCGTAGGGATGTGGATGAGACTATCAGTTGGATAAAGGAAAAGGAACAGTTAATGGCCTCTGATGATTTTGGCCGAGACCTGGCAAGTGTTCAGGCTCTGCTCCGGAAGCACGAGGGTCTGGAGAGAGATCTTGCTGCTCTAGAGGACAAGGTGGGATTTGAAAGCAGCTAGTTCTATAAATAAGTGACTAGAGGTCAGGAGAGCATTTCTCACAGAGTATGTTTCTAGGTCAAAGCCCTGTGTGCCGAGGCTGACCGCCTGCAGCAGTCCCACCCTCTGAGTGCTACTCAGATCCAAGTGAAGCGAGAGGAGCTGATTACAAACTGGGAGCAGATCCGCACTTTGGCAGCAGAGAGACATGCCCGGCTCAATGATTCATACAGGTGCAAACAATCCTCCTGTACTTAACAGCCAGTATCAACTGACTTTTTTTTTTTTTTTTTTTTGAAGAGAGGAAGGCAGAGGAAGGGGAAGTTGTACACACTGAGAAAGTTTCTGTATACCTGCCAGGTATACTAAGAAAATGCAGATCACTTTTCTTTACCTAGATTATATTTGTTTGGAGACTGGCAGCTATATAGTATTTGGCATATATGTAGTATTTATAACTTTATAATAAATTCTTCCATCCTATATCATTTTTTTTTTTTTTTTTTTTTTTTTTTAGTGAAGAGAGGAAGGCAGAGGAAGGGGAAGTTGTACACACTGAGAAAGTTTCTGTATACCTGCCAGGTATACTAAGAAAATGCAGATCACTTTTCTTTACCTAGATTATATTTGTTTGGAGACTGGCAGCTATATAGTATTTGGCATATATGTAGTATTTATAACTTTATAATAAATTCTTCCATCCTATATCACAGCAGTGTGACTGATAGAAATGGAAATATCCCCTTAACTATCTGAGCATCATGTGAAATATCCTCTTACAACTGAGTAAATCATAGATTGGAAAGGTAAAAAATGCTTTTTACTAACCAGGAGTTGAACCTGGGAATAACAAAGAAGTTGAAAATGTAGGACAAGATTGGGGCATTACAGTGATGAACAGAACCTAAGTTTTAAAGGATTGATTTCAGCCTATTACTTTCCTTTGCAGTCTAGATTCAGAGAATTCTATATTTCCCAGGACTAGAGTTTGTATGGTGTGTTAGACTTTTGAGAACACAGAATTCAGAGATTTAGGGAGGTCATTCTCCCCCTGGGACCTCCACTGGAAACATCCAGTGACTTACCTTTGGTTTTCCCTAGGCTTCAACGCTTTCTTGCTGACTTCCGTGACCTTACCAGCTGGGTGACCGAGATGAAAGCCCTCATCAATGCAGATGAGCTGGCTAACGATGTGGCCGGGGCTGAAGCACTGCTGGATAGACACCAAGAACACAAGGTAATATCTCCAGGATCTTCGAAGCAAAGGTATTTGCTTTTAATGTATCCATCTTTCACTCTGGTGAGGCCTATAGTTGGAGTTGTTGAAACGTTGTTCCCTAGTGGCTCTCATCATCATGATTGTTGTTGCTTTTACCTTTGTAGACCTTCTCTTCTTGCTTTCAGTAGAGGGTTGCCTGGATTAAATGTTGGGAGGTTAACTATGATTCATAAGAGGAAAGAGACTAGCTCTGGCAGGGGAGAGGTGCTAGTACTTTACACACCCATTCTGTGCCATCTTAAAAAATGTCTTTATGTAAATGCTGAATTTCATAGTTAGTTTGAGTAAATCTAAATTTCTTATTCTGGTATTTTGCCAAAGTATGTTCCCCAGAAAACTACTTATACAAGATCTTAATAGGCTTTATCCTAAAAAGAAAGCACGTTTTCTAAGTAATTTTGGAAAACACTGTTATACAGGACTTTTAAAATCACTATGACTAGGGCCAGCCCAGTGGTGCACTGGAGAGTGCGCCGCTTGGGAGCGCGGTGGCGCTCCCGCCGAGGGTTCGGATCCCATGTGGAGACTGGTTCCCGCTCACTGGCTGAGCGCAGTGCAGGCTCAACACTGAGGGTTGTGATCCCATTGCTGGTCCCCGGTACAGGCACGACAGCGAGGGTTGCGATCCCGTTACCGGTCAGTAAAAAAGACAAAAAAGGAAGAAAAAAAAAAAATCACTATGACTACTAATCCTTCTTTTTTAGAGGTTTTAATGTGTTAGATATAAAGTCAGTATACAAAAGTCAAACATGTTCCTCTACACTAGCAACAGAAATATAACTTAAAAAATACTACTACCGGGCCGGCCCGGTGGCGCACTGGATAGTGCGCTGCTTGGGAAGCGCGGCGGCGCTCCCGCCCAAGGGTTCGGATCCCACATGTGGACCGGTTCCCGCTCACTGGCTGAGCGAGGCGCGGGAGCAACGCCGAGGGTTGCGATCCCGTTGCCGGTCCCCGGTCCGGTACGGGGGCAACACTGAGGGTTGCGATCCGTTGCCGGACACGGAAAAAGACAAAAAAAAAAAAAAAAAAAAAAAAAAAAAAAAAAATACTACTACCAAAGTCAAGAAAATATAAGGTACTGGAAAATAAATCTAACGAGAGTTGTGTGAGTCGTTTGTGGAGAAAGTTAGAAACCTTTGTTGAAAGACGTTAAAGAAAAACTGAATAGATGGGATAAATGGATGAAACGATCCTTTGTAAAGTTATAAATTCTCCCCAGGAGAAGTGCATTCAGTGCAGTTCTGATTGATTAGGAAGGAAAAAATTCAGAAATAGCTGTGACAATTTTGAAGAATACGGTATGGCCAGAGGTGGAACTCACTGTACCATTTACTATAAAATCATAGTAAACAAATTCATTTGGTACAAGAAAGACAAATACAGGTTGAGCATCCTTATCCAAAAGTCAAAATCTGAAATGCTCCAAAATCTGAAACTTTTTGAACACCAATATGATGCTCAAAGGAGCATTTAGTATTAAGTATCTGCAAATATTCCAAAATCTGAAAAAAATCTAAAATCCAAAATACTTCTGAGCATTTTGGGTAATGGATACTCAATGGAGCAAAAGAGAGAGCTCAGACGCGTGTGAATGTGTGGAAACTTGAATGACAGAGAAGGTGTGAAAAGAACTTTCTTAATCAGTTAGTGATGATCTCAGGTTTGATTACCTAGACCGATTATTAGAAAACCTGGCCTAATCTTTCATACTGTTCCTCTTTTTAGATTTGATGGTGTGACTTGTAATAATTATTTGAAATTCACCTTATTTTTCTTTTACAAGATGCTGGGAATAAATCGTGCCTGTTTTCCCCTATAGGGTGAAATTGATGCTCATGAAGACAGCTTTAAATCTGCAGATGAGTCTGGGCAGGCACTGCTTGCTGCCAGTCATTATGCCTCAGACGAAGTGAGGGAGAAGGTAAGGGAGGAGAAAAGGAGCTTTTGAAGAGAAAATTAGGTTCTTTTGTACTTCAAGTCTCTGAAAGCTGTTATCCGTGCTTGAATATCTGCACATTGCATTCACCATGGTGTGTGAGGACACTTACCCAGAGATTCTGCCTGAAAAGGAGCAGCTTTTCTCTTCAGAGATTTAAAAAGATACATGTACAGTATACTGATGGGTACTTTTTATTTGGGACATGTGTGACACATTTCCTACTTAAAGGAGACTTTCCATGGAGCCGAGTTCTGCATTAGTAGTTGGAGCAAAGAGGAAACAAATTTTAATAAAATCATATGTGTATGTGTATATAATTATAAGCTTCAAAGTATCCTGGAGTATAAAATTGCCTGAGGAATATTAGATAAAAAATTTTTTTTAATAAATTATATAGATTAAGAGGAGATATTTCAAGGACAGACTGTCATCAATAACTTCGGAGCCTAAAACTTGTATGTAGGGCATTCATGAATTTAACATTTTATGGAGCACCCACTCAATTGAGAGTTCCTACTCCATTTATACTGCTTCATTTTCAGGTAGATGCCGTTTTTCTTCTACCTAGGATTTACTTATCATTTTCACCTAAAATCATTTGTGATAATGTGGCAGTAAATTAATTCTAGATCAGGGCCATCTGTCTTATATTTAACATACACATACAAGGTGCTCAGCATTTATATATGTCATGTGACATGACTTATACATACAAGTGATTGTTATTCTTCCCTTTTGCAAATCAGAAGAAAGGCCCAAAGCTTAGCGTTAGGATTGGAAATTCCAGGTCAGTCTCTATGTCTGACTGGAAGGCATCAGGACTGCTGTTTCCTCCCTGACTTTGTTTCCTGCTGCTCCCAGCTGACCATCCTTTCTGAGGAAAGAACCGCCCTGCTGGAGCTGTGGGAGCTGCGCAGGCAGCAGTACGAGCAGTGCATGGACCTGCAGCTCTTCTACCGTGACACTGAGCAGGTGGACAATTGGATGAGCAAGCAGGAGGTAATGTGTGAGCAGAGACCTTGCCAATTCAGTGAGAAAAGAAGTCTTATGTTTTGTCTACTTCTTAGATAGTTTGCTTATTTTGTTTTAGGAAATCAGTACCATTTCAGTTCTGAATCACGTGGAGCGGGGGGCTGAGCAAGCTTCTGTCAGCTCTGCCAGCATTTCTCCCTGCTGAGGCTGCAAGGCACTCGGAAAAGCCCCCAGTCTTCAGATTAGTGTGATGTAAAGTTTTTTTATTAAAGAGATTTTTTTTCGGGCCGGCCCGGTGGTGCACTGCTACGGTGCACTGCTTGGGAGCGCGGCGGTGCTCCCACCGAGGGTTCGGATCCCACATACAGACCGGCCGCTCGCTGGCTGAGTGAGGTGCAGGCGCAACACTGAGGGATGCAATCCCGTTGCCGGTCCCGGTCCGGTACGGGAGCAACACTGAGGGTTGCGATCCGTTGCCGGACACGAAAAGAAGACAAAAAGGAAAAAAAAAAAAGAGAGAGATTTTTTTTCTCAGAACATAGCATTATGCATAATCTAAATCTAATAGAAGCAACAAAAGTTATTTGAAAAAGTTTCAATAGAATGTGGAACAAGGATTTCATGATGTTGCTGAATTGATAAGTGAATCTGAAAGGACCTTGGACTTTCCAGAAGAGATCTTTGCAGTTTGCTAGCTGTAGAATCTCTTTACTTCTTTTTGTATTTTGGCCAAAATATCCTTTACTTTCCAGTCTTAGAAGATCACAGGAATAGGACATTATTGCAAACACTCTGTTTCCTTTTACAAGGCATTCCTGTTGAATGAAGACTTGGGAGATTCCTTGGATAGTGTGGAAGCACTTCTCAAGAAGCATGAGGACTTTGAGAAGTCCCTCAGTGCCCAGGAGGAAAAGATTACAGTAAGACCCCTTCATGTTGTTAGTGTTTTCAAGTGATCCTTAGAGTGAGCCACAAATCTCTTCTCCTAAAAGGTTTCTGAACAGATTCGATGAAAGATCTATGTATAAGGTATTCCTGTGTGTGCCTAAAATCTGATGATGACATGCCATCTTGTTGGAGACTTAACACAACTTTATAGAATGACATTTACTTGATGGAAACCTCCACGTTGAGATTTACCTTTCACTAAAAGTAGTTCATATTCAATGTGAGGTACTCTTACCATTGAAAACCCGTCTTAGCAGTGAGGATTGGACAGTTGTTAACCTGTGTTGATGCCTGTCAGGAGGCCATGCTGCAGCTCATGTCTCCATTCTTGAATGGCACTAGCTCAGTCTTGTTATATCTGGCTAATAACATCAAGAAAAACTCAAAAGTTACGGGGAAAATGTCATCACCACCAACCTTAGAGGGAAAACCTTGACCTGCGTTAAGGTTTGGAGTGTTTTATGACCTGTTCAGCAGTTTCCTTCCTCTAGAGGGCGAGCTAGGGAAGAGTGTGCTTTCCATTAAAGAACTCTCATCTTCCTTCCCAGGCATTAGATGAATTTGCGACCAAGCTGATTCAGAACAACCACTATGCAATGGAAGATGTGGCCACTCGCCGAGATGCTGTAAGTTTCCAGTTTCTTCGTGCTCTTTCCTTTCTGTGTGTGTATGTGCCTTCTAAGACAGATGTTGTAGTTAAGTCTCTTGAACTGGACATCTTTTTGGGTATAAGAACTGGAGATTTACAGTGATCCTTGTCTTTCAGCTGTTGAGCCGACGTAACGCCCTTCATGAGAGAGCCATGCGTCGCCGGGCCCAGCTGGCTGATTCCTTCCACTTGCAGCAGTTTTTCCGTGATTCTGATGAGCTCAAGAGTTGGGTCAACGAGAAGATGAAAACTGCCACAGATGAAGCTTATAAAGTAATGTACTGTTAGAATTGCCATGTAGGGCCGGCCCGGTGGCACACTGGAGAGTGCGCTGCTTGGGAGCGCCGTGGCGCTCCTGCCGAGGGTTCGGATCCCATGTGGAGACCGGTTCCCGCTCACTGGCTGAGCGCGGTGCGGGCGCAACACCGAGGGTTGCAATCCCGTTGCTGGTCAGTAAAAAAGACAAAAAAGGAAAAAAAAAAAAAAAGAATTGCCATGTAGCAGCACATACCTAGTAAGCTAAACGCAGCTCTCAAATAAATTGTAGCTAAAGGAAAGAATAGGGGATTCCAAAAACCATACCATTGAATGTAAGCTGGCTGTTTTATACACACCCCATAAAGATAAGTGTGAAGGTAATGGCAGGTACCTTGACATACCCAGGTTCAAAATAGAACCCCCTTTCTTTTATTGTCAGGACCCATCCAATCTGCAAGGAAAAGTACAGAAGCATCAGGCTTTTGAGGCTGAGCTCTCAGCAAACCAGAGCCGCATTGATGCCCTGGAGAAAGCTGGGCAAAAGCTGATTGATGTCAACCACTATGCCAGGGATGAGGTAGCAGCTCGTATGAATGAGGTCATCAGTTTGTGGAAGAAACTACTGGAGGCCACTGAACTGAAAGGTAAGAGAATGTTACACTGGATTTTGCGAGAAATGTTTGGGGAGCTAAATATCCCTTCCTAGTGAAGTGTTTTAGGGACACGTACCACCCAAGTAAGGTGAGGGTGGTGACCTTAGTCATTAGAGTTCACATCCTGTGTAGAAGTTATGTGGCTTGGGTTCTCAATGCTTTGCTAATTTGGTAAATGCGGTTGAGCATGCTGGTTGGTGGGGGAGCCTGAGCGAGAAGGGAATGAATTAGGCCTCATCACTGAAAATCCAAGTTCGGCCGTGAACCAAGGGTTTTTAATAGGATGTTTTTCAGACAACTTCCAATTCAGCCTCTAGAAGGTAGAGCAGAGGTCCTTACACTCTACGACATTACACAGTTTATGTTTTCTTTACCTTTGTGATAGAAGTGAAGCAGTAACTAAACTTCTGACCAATAGTCCTTCACTTACAGTGTTTGAGCAGTGTTGGTAGAAGTATAATGTTAACCAATAGAAAACCTTGCCTCCTTGGACAGGAATAAAGCTTCGTGAAGCTAACCAGCAGCAGCAGTTTAATCGGAATGTTGAGGATATTGAACTGTGGCTGTATGAAGTGGAAGGTCACTTGGCTTCAGATGACTATGGCAAAGATCTTACCAACGTCCAGAACCTGCAGAAGAAACATGCCCTGCTGGAGGCAGACGTGGCTGCTCACCAGGTAGAGTGGCACTGGGGGCTGCAGTTGAGCAATGAATGCAGAAGCGACAGGAGGGAAGAATGGCAAGTAATTTCAAGACCAGACTAGTTTGGAGAGGAATTAAATGTGTTGGTTTTCTTAGATAACTCTGTATGCTCCATATGCTTTTGCTCAAATTAAATCATCTTCCCTCAGAGCTTTCTGGGAGCCCAAAATGTGAGAAGGAGATGGCAGAAAGAATACTCTAGGGTGGGAAAAGGACCATGCTTATTTTTCTTTGTATATGACAAAACCACACCCAAAGTAATAAAGTCAGCCTAGAAAAGTTCAGAACATATTTGCTCAACACCAGTACAAGCTTTCAAGACTCTGTCCTTTCCCATTCTCAGGATCGAATTGATGGCATCACCATTCAGGCCCGCCAGTTCCAGGATGCTGGCCATTTTGATGCTGAAAACATCAAAAAGAAGCAGGAAGCCCTTGTGGCTCGCTATGAGGCTCTCAAGGAACCCATGATTGCCCGAAAACAGAAGCTGGCTGATTCTCTGCGTCTGCAGCAGCTCTTCCGCGATGTTGAGGATGAGGAGACATGGATTCGAGAGAAAGAACCCATTGCTGCATCTACCAACAGAGGTCAGTGTACCTTCATCAAAGAGCAGTCAAGCTGGGGAAGGGCTGTGCCATTGTAGCATATAGAGGACACATGTCAGAGTGAGCAAGGTCAAGTTTAAATTATCACACTGAAACCATGATGGTGGGGTAAAAGTGACAAGTTAGTGCTGACTTTTCTTTTCATGGTTGGATAACTAAGGAGTGGTTTCTGCTTTCAGGCAAGGATTTGATTGGAGTCCAGAATCTGCTAAAGAAACATCAAGCCTTACAAGCAGAAATTGCCGGACATGAACCCCGCATCAAAGCAGTTACACAGAAGGGGAATGCCATGGTGGAGGAAGGTGACTGTCAGCAGTGCAGGTGGCTTGCTTTTCTCCTTGTGTCTGCTGCCTTTGGCTCAGTGCACGGGCTGTGGGGTTGAATTCCATCCCCATTCATTCCTAACCATGTGACCTCGATTAGACCTTATCCTCTCTAAGCCTGACCTTGTCTGCAAAACGGGATAGCAACACCTCCCAAGATGTAGTTGTGAGGATTAAATAAAATCAAGTAGCTAAAGAGGCTGAGGGTCCCTGAGCACGGAAGTCTTGGTAACTGAAGCTATGGTGCTTCTGTTACTGTTAGTCTTTCTGTATGATGATCGCACTAATGCCAACTGGGGAGATTTGCTTTTTAGAGTCTAGATAGAGGTCGTGGTTTGAGGAGGCAAGAATGAGACAATCTGTTAAAAGGTTAGAACCCAAGCCTTTCATGGGAATTGGGATTATGAAGGGCCCAACTCACCAAAACGTACTAACAGAAGAGCTGTGGACCACACTTCTGTTCGTCTTTCCGTGGCGGACCGTGTGCTTTCCGTTGTCCCTCCTTCCAGGCCATTTTGCTGCAGAGGACGTGAAGGCCAAGCTGAATGAGCTGAACCAGAAGTGGGAGGCGCTGAAGGCCAAAGCTTCGCAGCGCCGGCAGGACTTGGAGGATTCACTGCAGGCCCAGCAGTACTTCGCTGACGCCAACGAGGCCGAGTCCTGGATGCGCGAGAAGGAGCCCATTGTGGGCAGCACCGACTATGGGAAGGATGAGGACTCTGCTGAGGTACCTGGCACCTACCTGGGATCGGCTGGGGCTCGGGTGGGAAGCCGCTCAGCGGAAATGATGGTGTGCAAAAGGTGCGCCATCACAATGATTGGTTTTTAAGTTGTTTTGGAATCTATTTTTTACTTTTTATTGAGGAAATCCAGTCATACTTAAAGGAGAGAGAGGATTGACTACCTGTGGCCACCTTTAGCTGTTGACATTTGCCATTGTTGTTTCATCTGTTTTCTCCACTATGTGCACACACATAAATACAAACACATCACATGCACACACGTTCATGCAAACGTACCGACATACACACCAGCACCACATACGTACATACCTACATACATACATACTGACACACTGACATATACACCTTTTTTTGCTGGCCATCTGTTTTTTGACTGTAATTCTCAAATTTTATTCATAAAGGTCTAGGTGCAGTCCCTGTACCTACCTCTTTTCTTGTGAGTCTTCACAAAAACTAGAATGAGTCGACTTTTGACGAAAACTATATATGATTCTCCTAAACGATGGAACAACTGATAAACTTTGAAAATGTTGTAATTGGGAAATGACAAAGCACCAATTGTGGGCAGTATTTATTAGCCATCTTCAACTTACTAGAACAGTAAAAATAATGGGCCGGCCTGGTGGCGCACTGGAGAGTGCGCCGCTTGGGAGCGCGGCGGCGCTCCCACCAAGGGTTCAGATCCCATGTGGAGACCGGTTCCCGCTCACTGGCTGAGCGCGGTGCGGGCGCGACACCGAGGGTTGCGATCCCATTGCCAGTCCCCGGTACGGGCACGACACCGAGGGTTGCGATCCCGTTACCGGACAGTAAAAAAGACAAAAAGGGAAAGGATAATACTGTAAGTCACAATTAATATTTCCCTGAAATTATTTTTTTTGAGGGGGGGGCAGCTGGCTGGTATGGGGATCTGAACCCTTGACCTTGGTGTTATAACACTGCACTGTAACCAACGGTGCTAACTGGCCAGCCTCTAAACATTGATTTTTATCCAGGGGAGAGAAAATGCAGGGCAGGAGGTA